GAATAAACCTTTTACGCAGCTCTTTGTCAGTTCTACAAATGGTTGCAGTTAATCGATGCTATAAAACTTTCCTTCGGGCACTGGTATTCAGCTTTCACACTGGGAAATGCAGTTTAAGTCTGACATTTTAAATACCGGTGGTATTATCTAATGAAATAACTCGGGGTTTGAAAATTCCCATCAGTAAAAAAGCATAAAACTGCTGTTGAGCTAAGGTATTTAAAAACATCTTTTGGAGCATTGGGAAAAAAAGATAAATTGTACAAACACTATTATTTTGCTACTCTTTTCCTTCATACACTTCTAACATGACCAGGGGTCTACTGTCCCATTGGTGCATCCATGTAATTTTCATCAGCATTGATGGGAGTTATGTGTATGAGGTGATAAGGGCATACATTGAATTCAAAATTCTTTTTTTCTTTATTAAGAAGTGCCGTGCAAGTCTTGTCATGAGGGAAGTCCTTAAGACTTTTTTCTACCTTTCCGTAACGAACACGGTAGATTTAGCAAACATTTCAGGATTTCTCCAGGATATATTTTTTTCACTTTGTATTTTACAGATTTGCCATTCTGAAATCAACTAGCTCCATCTCAGGGGCTGTGCAAAGAGAAGAGGTGAAGGAAAGGAAAGTAAAGCCTCCCAGGTGATAACAAACTGTAGAAATTCCATAGGCTTTTATCTGATGTTTTAATAGTGAATCACTGGCTAGACATTTTTCTTACTCACATTTAGGTGTATAAGGACGGCATTTGAAATTTTGCTGTTATGAAGCCCTCAAAAAGAACAGCATATCTTTCAAGGCCATTTTCTTAGCATTTCCTGAAATTCTGAACACTCAAAAAAGGATGGCATAAAGATGTAAAAAGATCATGGTGGAAAAGGCAGAGGGAAATAAAAGCCTTCTGGGATTCTCCTCTTATAGTACACGCTGTACCGTATCCGAGGCAAGCCCATGCCTAGGGGACACAATCTATCCTTAAGTGTATGTGACCTACTAACCACAGTGAAAAAACAAGAGCAGGTGAACTGATTTACTGCTTTTCTGAGCGAATAACTTTTGCCTCGGCAGGAGAAATTTGAAGGGAGTACTTACAATAATGTGTGCGCTGCTACTCCCATGGGGTTCCCGGACCATTCTTCAAAGCAGTTGTGTCCCAGCTTTTCAGCAAAACTGTTAAAAAGGTCAGTGCAAACTGACCATATTCAAAAAAGACAATCCTTCAGTCCTGATGTTGCAGTGTTTGTGGTTCTCATTTCTAGGTAGGAGAAAAAAACTAAATAACATGCAAAGAATATATTTCTGATACAACTTTTAAAGAATTTCAGGCTTTTCAAGGATCCTTTTCAAGTATCTCCAAGTATGTCACAAAGAGCAGGTCAGTTAGAAATATTTTCTGAAAAGGAATGAAAGAAAAAAAGGAAGCTAAGGGCAGTAATGGGATTTTGGACGTCTCAACTTTGGGCTGCCTACTTTTTGCTAATTTAAATAGGACCAATGTTTAGGAGAACGGGGGCTCTGCACTTTTTGCCAGTGGCATGGCAAATATCTGTGACCCATAAACTCATAGTTAGTTTGGCAGTCCTTGGTCAGAGTGACTTGCCCAAGCTCATGCAGTAAATCAGAACCAAAACCTGCGTAACAGGACAGATTCCTATTTTCCAAAGTTTGTTTATTCAACCAGTTTGTAACACTTTCTTCCCAGTTCCAGATGAATCATTTAATCACTACAATGCTATAGTTTCTTTCAGCTTTTTATATCGCCAGCAGGTGGGGATTTAAAAAGCACTTTGCTGTTCACCTTTCGGTCATCCTCGTAACTTTCATCTGCGTATTGTTTTATTTTGCTAGAGGCTTTCCCAACAGGCTGGCGTGTTCTCTGAAAAGCTGGATCACCTATGGAGCCAGGATCTGTGACCTTCTGGCATTTGAATGGTTCTACAGAAACTTCAGAACTTCCTTTACTTTTTTTTTTTTTTAAGAAAAGTCATTAAAACATAGGTTTTTGAGAGTCTGAATTCCCCTCCAACAATTCTTCGCTCTTTGGGGAGGCAGGGAAAGTGCTTCAGTTTTCAGTATTCTGGACTGCCCTGTTCAACACCTCATGGATTTTGGAGCTGGTTCATTCAGTTTTTGATAAATACTAATTTTATGCTTATGTTAGCAGCATGAGCATAGCCCAATTGTCTAAAAATTGTTGTAGAATTTAGTAATACTGTTCTTGTATCTAATAAATATTGCATCTAGTATATGCTGCTCCCACTCTGAATGTGTTTGGGCCTCTGCTACTGAATGGAAAGGCTCTGAAGAAAGTTCAGTTACTGAGGAAGGTGTTAGGATTTCAGTGCATGGTTTTTGTTAGTTTTGTTGGGCTTTTTTTTTTTTTTTGGAGAACAAATGATTGTAGTTAGGAAATATATTTTAGGGAAAATGATAGGTGTTTCTCCTTTGTGATATAAACCCAAGATTTTCACCAGTATAAGAAACCACTTGAATCAATTAGTAGACCTCAGTATGCAAATCTTCAGAAAAGCCTCTCCCTTCTTGGCTGTGCAAGTGGCAGAAGAATCCTGTAGCTGCTTTCTTTTTGATGAGCAATATCCTGTTGACCCCTCAAATTGTTCTTCAGTTCTTTACTTTCATCAGATGAACCTCTTCCTATTGCTTTATGCTAGATTCTGCCATCAGGTGTGCTGGCTGTTGCTAACCTACACCTGCCTTGCAGTTTTTACCTGAAACACTCCTAAGTGAGGAACTACCTCATGTGATCTGTCTTCCTTAAAAGCTTATCTTTTGCACTTGCCACTGCTATATGTGGCGATTTGATGAATATAGATCTGCTCACTGGTGCATAGTGGCCCCAGGTTCTTGGCTCCTTTGTTCTATTTGCCTACTCCTTAGCTTGGCACTCTTTTTTATTGTTTTTGAGTAGTGTCTTTTGTTTTCTTTGAGACTGTTGTGAATATAAAGAGCAAAGTCCCAGTTTTTCGCCTCATCAAACTCTTTGCTCATCTTTGACCAAATACCCGGGATAGTGTATTTTTATGGAGCAGAGGACCCTTTATCATTTTGCCATCGCCATCAGTGGCTGGCCCGCCTTTACCCCTAGCTCTTCCTTCCAACATTCTGTGGATCATAGGGCTGGATGTTCTCCTCTCAAATTCCCAGGGCACGCTAAATCACCACACATCTGTGCACTTTGCTATTTCCCACTACGCATAAAATGCCAGGTATGCCTTATCTTCCAAGAGATATGGCCCACCTCCAGATCACAATTCCTGTCTGAGGGTCATTTCTATAATTCTCCCTGCAGTAGGAAAGGCAGGCTATTATAACCGAGAAATTAAGTGCTTCTTGTAGCTAAAAGACAAATTATCCAACAGCATAACATACACAATGTTAAGTTCTGCAATGAAAGCCCACAAAGGAGCTCAGAAACAACAAAAGGAGGGAGATGCCCAAATAATACCCTGCGGTCCTTCTCCCAGGCCCATCACAGGGGGCACAAGCACAAGCCCAGATGAGCACAGGGGCACAAGAGCTGGCAGGAACCCAAACGAAGGACTCTTCAATCACCTTTGGCCTACGGGGTTCACCACTTATGGGTGGGACACATTATGGGATGCAAAGGAAAAACAGTTATAAATCACACAGGACTAATTATGGGATGTTTAGGGGAGGAACCAAAGGTGGAAAACAGGAGAGGTTTAGGTGATTTGTGGAGGGACAAGAGTGGGAAAACTGAAGGGTAAGCAAATAAAAAGGGCCAGTTGCATACATATAACTAGGTAGTCAGAATGCCTGTCTGGCTCTGCCCTGTCCCTGACAGGGACACAGTCTGTCCTCTTGCCTAATTCTCTCCTGGGTGAGGGGTCTCTGTTCTGTACGTATGTGAGTATGGGGGTGTGAGTCCAGCCACTGGAGGCAGAGCACAGGCTGTGGGCCTGCGTGTCCGTGGCACAGAGATCGACTGAGTGTGGGTGTGCAAGTGAGTGTGTGATCACCAGCAAAGATCAAAACAAACCAGCTGGTGAGTAGGTGAAGTGACCTGGGAACAAGGGGGTGAAGGGGGTCTCCAAGAGCCAGCTCCAGGTGTGAGAGCAGCTGTGCATCTCCAGGGGTGACAGCACAGGGCAGTCTATACAGACTATACAGGGGGGAGGATGTGGGAGGAATGGGGGTGACAGCCCCCTCACTGGCTTATCTGTCCAGGTGCCAGCAACTGAGCAGACTGGGATCCAGGGACCACCTACTGGGCAGACTGACTCTGTGAGTCCAGTTACTGGAGGCATCTACCTTGTGCATAGATCTATATATATAGTCTCACTAATGGATTCCCATCCTGCTCAGCCTGAGAGGGGAGCAGGATAAGGCCATCAGTACTGCCTATGTTCACGAGCGCTCCGAGTGGCTGTCTAGGAATTGTGTGTCAAGCCATGTAGATATGTAGTATCTATGTGTACATGTGTAGTCTATATGTGTGCTTTGTTTGTGTATGTCTGCTGGTAATACATCTTCAGCCTCGCTAAGGGTTGGACATGGGCATATGGAGCCTCGCCTCTTTAAGGCTGTTGGATCGAGAATGATACATTTTCCTCCAACGTACACACATTGCATTGCTCCAGCTCATTTGTGTGTTACTGTCAACCCAACAGACACATTCCCTAGCTATGTACACACATGAAACATGTACCCATCACCCAATTGTACGCTGCCTCATGATCCCTTTTTCAACAACGCCTTATGTTGCACATACAGGTAAAATCACTGCACATGGTAAACTCAAAGCATACCTCTTACTTGCTCTGCTAAAAGTTCCCCTGTGGTCTAAAGAACTAGTTCTTGTTCACGCTGGTCAAAACTTTTTAGGCTACTTGAAATCTCTGCAGACAAATGCAGGGATATTCTAGGATGTTGACTGAATGTTCCACTGAATCATCTGTGGTAAAATCTAGAAAATTTGCTTTATTCAGCATATTTGACATCATACAACCCCAGTGTATATTGTTAGAATGCCAATAAAACATTCATGGTAGCTACTAATACACGCTTAGCAGTCACTTCTTTACGATATAGTCCATCAGCTTGTGCTCAGGCTGCACGTGCATTTCGTGGCCAAAGCTGAATGGGTGGAATTGCTCTACAACAGAAAAGCACAGCCAGAAACCATGTTTCTGTTTTCACATACCCATTTTCTGTGTTTAACCACCAAATGTTCTGGTCTCTCAACTCCACTGTTTCCAGGCTTCCTGAGCAGACACCTTGCAGCTGGAACTGCTCCACACAGTGGCAGGATTTCAAGAATGGTGCCACACTCATAATTTTCTTCACTTTTGGGGGTTCTTGAGCATTGATCAATGGATGTTATTCGTCTCAAGGATTCACTGTCTTCTGAGAAGTATGCACATAATCTGAAGAGACAGCTGGCCATCTGTCATGGTGTCAAGTTTTTAAGGGAAGACAAAAACAAGCTCATGGAAAAAAAAGTCTGTTGAGGACTATGGCACACATAGAAACCAGATCTGGCTCAGAAAGTCCCTGAGCTGAAAACAATTGGATCCTGAGAGTACTGCAGGGAAGAATCATAAACACTTGCCCTGGACTTGTTCTTCCCTAAATTTGTGTTTACAGGCACCAATGGAGACAAGATATTAGGGTAGTTGGACGCTTGATCTGACAACCCAAGACAGACATCCTGTTGGTCTCATGTACCTCAAAGACAGGTCAGTTAGGACAGATCCATACTCACCCTAAAGCATCTGATTGCTTTCTAGGTTGGCTTCCATTAAGAACCAGTCACACATTGAACCTATGAATGTGTCTGTATAGAGTAATCATATTTTTATGAAATACAAAACTCAGTGTATGAAAACAACTTCACACAAAGATTTTCACATTGTCTTGTTAAGCTGGAAAGAGTTTTTTGTTCCTTAGTAGTTTAACAGTTCTGTGAGGCACACATAATGACAGTGGCAGACTTGAAAAAAGGACATTAATACTTCCAAAGGGATAAAGTAAGTCCACAGTCCAGAGCAAGTATTACTGTGGAAGCAGTTATCTATTTTGTTATTAAACATTTTACAAACTTTTACCTTAACCTGTCTTAAAACAAAGATATGATATGTAGATGATGAGCTAACAGTTCATTTTTCTGGGTGAACCTTAAAATGAGGTACTAGAATATACAGAATGTCAAGAATCCTAATACTACTAGTTAAATACATAATAATAATTGAAAACAACAACAGAAAAATCTCCAGTGTCTATCTAAATACCATCATGGTATACCTCTGTTTAGGAGCTGCTAATGTGGTCTTCCAGTAACCACTGTTAACTAGTTCTTTAGCACTTGCTGGCAAGTGGAAAAAGTGTCTGAAATCTGAGGGTCTTGTAAATTTCAAACACCATCCACCTACTTAAATCTTCCCCTTCCCCTTCCCTTTCCTTTCGTCTACCTTGGCTTCTTAGGAAGACGTTAGATATGTAATGCAAAGGAGACAAATTCTCAATTTTAGACTCTTAGCATCTCTTTGGAGATGTAGCAGACTAATGTAATTTTTCTCAATATAGGTATTATCAGTTTGTCAACAGTACTGATGCCCAACTGTCCCTCAAATACCTGGCTCACTTTATTATGGAGTATCTATACAATGAGGTTAATTCCCAAAACATTTTATTCCCAATACCACTCAATAAAGAGGTTATCATGTGTCCACAGGTATGTACACAGAATATGTAGTTCAGGATGTGATAATGGATCCTGACATTGCAAATGCTGAATATTTTTTCCCTATTTATCTTTAATGTGTGCTTATCATTGGTATTAGCCATTAGGTTATTCTAATTGGAGACAAACTCCTAGTTTATATGAATCTCTTCTTACCATGAGAAGACTATTGATTCATTCTATGCTAAGTACACAAGTTTGTCGCTTATTCTTGCAAGCATGATACTTCCTTTTATTTATATTTTATATTTATTATTAACTCCACAAATACATTCAACTGAACAAGTGAAAAATATTGAATAAAGTGTCCTCATGGACCTGTTTTTTGCTCTGGCTTCTTGCATCATTTCATGATCCATCTTGACCCTTAGGATTCCCATGGGAATAAGAAAACAATGGGAAGCACCTAAGAAAACAAATGAACATGGGTACTTCATTAGACACAAGATAGTGTCAATGGCAGTGGGTGAAAAATGCCAAAAAATGCAAATAATTTTGCTCTGCTTTGTCAGAAGTATGATAAAACTGACCAAAAATTCTAGATCACTACATTTTTTGTTCACTCCTTACTCGAGCAAAGGTTTTCCTGGCATCTGCTTTGAGTCCTCCTTGAGTGAAATTTCTGGGATTTAGTCCTTTAATGAGAACAACGAAAGAAAAGTAATTAATGGGGAAAGAAGTACAAGTACTGGAGATAGTGCCAATACACTAAGTATACACTTATGTTTACACTACTTGTTCATTTAAGCACAATACAGAATAAGGTCGGGGAAATCATCCTGTATGCAACCCCAAAGATATCTGATATATCCAATGACAGCAGAGCCCTGTTTATTCAAAATACTTTTGGAACATCAAAACATTTGGATAAACAGGGCTTCAAATAATTGAGGGAGTTATTGTATAAGTAATTCACACCAGGGGGACATAACCTAGATTCAAAGGAGTGAGTTTCAGATCAAAGGGGTATAGATAAATGGGATTTTGCTCTATATGAACAAATAAAATAAACAGCATTTGATTATTCAGGAATCAAGAAGTATCCAAATATTTTTTCAAAAAGAGTTTAGGATGAAAGGTCAAAATTGTTGCAATAGGCCATATAAAGAATATTCCTATGGAATAAAAATAACAAATAACTAAATGAGACCAAAAAGATGTGGGGTTTTGTGTGTGTGCTTTTTGTGGGTTTTTTCTTGGTTTGGATTTTTTGGTGGGTTTTTTGTTTGTGTTATTTTTGTTTTGGTTTGTTGTTTTTTTAAACTCACTGATCTTCCAGTCAGGATCATATGAACTTTAACAAGTTTTTTGATCTTATTCCAGCCGTGACACTGACACATATTTTGTGGTGGATCGTAGGGATTTGTAACATCCGTGGCTCTGTCACTCATTTTCCCCAAGGCCCAACGGAAGCAAACTGTAAATTACACAAGTTGGGTCTTGGATGGACAATATAGTCTGATTGCTCATCTTTCTATTAATGTAATGACTCACATATGGTTTATCTAAATACAAACATCATAATCACCCGTTAAATGCCCTTTAAAATACAAATCTTGGAATTTAAAAAGATCCTAAGTGTAAAGATCTATACTGATATTCACCCCCTGCATTGCTAATATGGTGGTGTGGATAATTTGCTGATTTAGAAAATTAAACAGTCTTTTCCATTCCTGCAATTCAGTTATTGCCCCTTATTGTCTCTGCAGGGACTTTTTAATAGTGGGGGTGGCAGAAGAGACATCAGACTCAACACTTAAAGGGGAGTTAAAGGTCTGAAACCGCAACACGTTTAGATTCCCCCATCGCTTAATTTCTGTGGCCCAGCGCCCAGCCAGGAGCCTGCTCCTCCCGCCATGGTGCCTCACCCCAAACAGCCCCGTCCTGCCTTGAAGGTCCCCGCGGGCTGCGTGTGTGGAAGATGCCCTCTGCCTCAAGCTTCCGAGGCATTTTTTCAACCATGTCCCAACACATACCAAATCGTCCTGTTGAATCCATCCTGATGTTTCCGGGCCTCGTGGTTGGGTTTCTAGGCCCTGGGGTCTGTCAGCGCTGCCAGATCCGAGTCCTGTCGCACCCCTGCGGCAGGTTTACTTGATGTCCCGGGGCAGGCTGTGCCTCAGCCGTGGGGCAAGTCTCGTAGGCCTGTCAGCCGCCCATCCAGCCGTCGTTCCTCACAGCCCACCCCACGCCTCTCCCCGGGCTGTCCTAACACCACAACCCACGCAACGTTCCCCCCGCACCCCCCGGGCCCTACACCGCCCCGCACACTTTTGGCGGGAAGAGCGGCGCCGCCGCCATGTCGCCGAGGCTGCCAGCAGGGCCCGCTGCTTCCTCTCTCCTCCCCCCTCCGGTCCCGCGGCTCTGCCGGGGGCTGCAGGGCAGAGGGGAGGGGAGAGGAAGGGAGCAGGGCCCGGGGAAGTGCCGCCCCGGTCGTTGGCGTCGTTTGTCCCGGCTGCTTTTCCTCCCTCCCCGGTGAGGGAGTGCGAGTTCAGGTGCCTGAGGCGACGCACCTAGGCTCTGAGGGGAGAGGGGTGGGAGTGTGAGGGGGAGCAAGGGTTAAAGAGGAGCAGCTGTTGGGCTTGTGGTAAGGTGGACGAAGAAAAATGCTTAAGGAAGGATTTGAGGGAGAGAGCGTGGAGAAATGACAGTTTGGAGTTGATGTTATTAGGAGAACGCAGGAGACACCTGAGGGGGCAGAGGTGGCGGTTGGCCAAAGGTAAAGGCAGATCCTCTCAGCAGAGAATGAGTCGTGGTGGGTGGTTACACAGGGTGGGGTCTGGAGGGGGAAGCAGAGGAATGGGGTCAGTTCAGGGGGTTTTGGAGTTTGCTGGCAGGTTGCTGCAGTGGCACAGTCTGGAAGTGAGTGAAGATGAACCATAAAGAGCAAAGCAGGGGAAGGTCGAAAAACAAGTGTTGAGGCCCTGTTTCCTGAGGTGACAGGAGGTTACCTTCAAACTGCTTTAATGTTTCAGTCTACTGGCCTGGTTTCCTCCCACCTCCTCATCATGTTACTCCTCTGCAGCCTGTTGGGTAAAGTTGTGTTGTCTGTGGTACAGGTAAAGAGCCAATTTCTAGTTTTATTCCAATCAGCAGGTGCTATCTGTAGATACAGGTATTAAAAAAAGGTAAATTTCCCTCTTAAAAAACCCACAAAACACCCCAAACCCAAAGAAACCCGAAATAGTCTTTTCTCTCAATAAGCAACAGATAAAGTGTGTTCAAATTTTGCCCTCTCCTTACCCTCTCTTTTCTTTTACAGGCTTGCCAAGGCTTCCCTCTCTGACTGAAGAATCATTGCTGCGTGTTCTGTCTCGGTTGCAATTTGGTCAGAACATCTTGATCAGTTTTCTGTCTGGAGTAGAGAAGAGAAGGTAAAAACTGAACTTGTGTGTGGTGATGGTTTCAGGTTGATAGCCCTGGACTCTGGCTGAAACTGTTGTGTGGTCCTGAATCCAGAAAATACATGGGCTTCTGCCTAATTTGAAGCACATCTGCAGCATCTTTTATTTCATCCGACTCCTTAAGCTCTGAAAGTTAAACACAGACATAAGTACTTGGACAAAAGCAATGCAAGTTTTCTTACGCTGCTGGTATGGGGCCTGTGGATCTGGGAATCCGTTCCCATTGTCATCTAATCTCTGGATTTTCTGCTGTATTTCCAATTAAGATAGTGGCCATGCCACTTTTGATCTGTTCATTTGAGGACCTGAAGCCTATTTGCTCCCATCAAACTCCAAAGCATGTCTGTCACTGAATTCAGTGGTTGCAGGATTTGCCCTGTTTTGTTTTTTTTTTTTTTCTCTTCACCATTCCACCCCCCCCAGCTCTCTTTAAAGGAAAAAAAACAAACACAGAAGATGTAGGTCCTTCAGAATCAAACAGAATCACTGAATTTCTCAAGCTCATTTTCAGAAGTAGTTGTGGTTTTTTCCCCTTTCCTATTTCAATCTCAGCCTTTCTTTTATACTCTGGAAGCTGCATAGTGGAGTATGGGGGGGGGGGGGGGGGAGGAGAAAAGAAATGTGTGTTTGGGTCTTAAAATAATATATACATTAAACGATATTTCATTGTGCCTTATCAATAGACTGATAAACTTAGGTGTTTGCTGTTGCTATTGCTTATGATGCTCTGTAGCAGGCTGAGGCAGTAACTGCTGCTGATGGAAAAGAAAAGGTAGTGAAGGAGGCGGGGAGAAGGAGGTGGGAGACGAGGGGATTGGCTGCTTTTGATGTCAATCACAGCTGCGGCCCCCAGCTCTTCCGCTGCTCTGGCTCTGGCTCTCCCTTGAACAGCTCCTAGAGAGAACAAGGCGTGCAGAGCTCAGATCACCAGCATCATGCTCCTTGGGCTTGGATCGTAGATCCCCCCTCTTTGAACATTAAAATAACTCCTTCGTCCATCAGCGTCCCAGGCAGACCCAGCGAGAAAACACGCACGTGAGAGAGAGAGGAAAAAAAGAGGAGGAAGAGAAAAATCTGCAACCAAGTGGACTAAAGCAAAGAGAAAGAGTGCTTTGCTTGCACAGCTGCAAAGTGGGAATTTAAAGAACCTGCAGAGAGAGAAATTCCAGCTCATCAGCACATACACATTGCAGAATTACAGATCCAAGTAGAAATGACATCAACAGGGAAAGAAGGCAGCGGAGCTCAACATGCACAATATGTTGGACCCTATCGTTTGGAGAAAACCCTAGGAAAAGGACAGACAGGTTGGTTCTTTTGCAGCAGCACTGGCGCTAGGGGGAAGGTGCTGTAGCAGCCAGTGAGGTGCTGCTGGGGATGGGATATTGAAGGGTTCAGGTTTTCCTATTTGCTGTTTTAGTGGAGATAATATTCATAGGGGATTTTTGCCTTTATTTATTTTTAGTTTTCATTTTAATTCTTTTTTTTCTTCCTCTTCTTTTTTTTCCCTAACAACAACAACAAAAAAGCCCAGGATGCTTTATGTTCATTACTCCTGCTAATGGGTGTTGTTCTGATGACAGCCAGAGTGCATGCAGAGGAAAAAATAGATGATGTGCTGGTGGTGAATTTTCACATCAATTTCTTCACTGCCCTACTTAGGAGCATTTTCTTTTTAATCAAATTATATTGAAATGAAAGGTTCACAGCCTGTAGTACCAAGGAGGTGGTGGTGGTAGTGGGGGAGTCACCAGCAGTATTTCATGACATCATGATTGAAAAGGGTGTAGTCCTTAAGGTGCAGTTGGGGGGGTGGAAATATGTACAGTATGTCTATGGCACTGACTGCTGTGGGTATTTAGCAAATATGGATGGATGGGCTGATGGCTTTTGTGGGTAGGGTCTGAAATAAAAGAAAAACAGAGGCTCGGTGGCAGAATTCATTCTGGTTATGCTGTGTTTTTGTAGGAGGGATTGGGAGGGGGAGGGGATGTTATTTAATTATTTTTCTTAAAGCTTGTTTATGAAACTCACCCCCAGCAGATTTTCCTGAATGGAACAATGGTAAGAAATATTAAAAAGAGGAAATCGAGTGGAGGGAATTAGAGAGCAGGTGCTTCTGCCCTACATGACATAATTAGATCCCCTAAATGCGTTCAAGATCTGGACTTACTGTTGCTTGCTTGGATAGCACATTCACTTCAAGGGCAGGGGAGCATTAATTGGAAGAAAAATCCTTAAAAAGAAGCCCAAATGTTTTCCTTATTTTTTTTTTTTTTTTTTTTTTTTTTTTTTTTTTTTTTTTTTTTAGTAACAGGTGCAATAAGCAATGGGATCTGGCAAATTCATTGGGTTGGGAGCCCCCCAAAAGTGGGTTGAAACTCGAGATTATAATTTAGGGAAAGGGGAAGATCAGCTATAGGGGGGCTTATTTGGGCATGTGGGTGTTAAGTGTTGTTCATTATGGTGGGACAATAAAACATGATGCATTGTGGTGTAATTTATTTATTTTTTTTTTATAACCCAGCCGAGCTTTGCCCATCTGTTGTCTAAAGGATTTAATAGGCGTTTCCATCCCCAGCTGCTGCCTCTGCTCTGCCTGCTTCCTCGCTGCCCTGCGTGGCAGCAGCTCTGCAGTCCGCAATTTTCTTAGGGACACAGTCAAAATCCAGATCTTTCTCTGTAAGAAGCAATGCTCTTCTGAGATGATTGATTATAAACCCCCCCCCATCCTTCCCTTCCTCTTCACAACCCCATAGCAACCGTTCAGAGACATGGATGAAGATGACATTGCCTTCTAGTGAAAGTGACTTTTATTTATATTTCATTTTTTCCAAATCTCTTCAGTGTATCAGCTGCTAAAGGTAGCTCTCTGTCACTCTTTTGGTTACCACCTTTATTCTTTGCATAGCTCAATAAGCCCTTACTTCTGCAGCTGTATTCTTACTAAAATCTGTTCTGATTATAATACTGAAAATAGTCTACCAAAAAATTGCACTGTATTGGTAATAAAACTGCCTTGTTTCTGCTTGTAGTCCTTTCCTGGATACTCCAGGTGATCAAAGAGCCAGCTGTAGATGACAAATTAATTTTTATCTTCATCACCATTTCATTTTTTTTCCTCTCTCTTCTTCTCAGCACCCCTCCCTCCCATTTAAATACAATTGTATCTGAGATTTCTGAATATACAGCTGCATTAACCTTTTGCTCCATGTCTCATAGCCTGACGTTGTGGTCCTAAAGGGTTATCTGCAGCTTTGGTTATTTTTTTCCTCTCTGCTAATCTTCCTATCTTCCTTCTAAGTGATTAGAGATGTGGGGGTGGAGGGAGAAGAAGAGGATGTATTTAGAGGCTTGCTGCTGTTGGCCTCTGCAGTTATTCAACCAGCTGGACAAGGGTGAAAGTTTCCTTTTGCAGTTTTACCGTATCTGATCTTTATAGATAAGTCTGTACTGTTTGCACACATGAATGCACATAAAATGCACAATGCGTGGTGTCATAGAAACTGGAGATGGGGGGAAGAGGAAGAGAAATCTTGAAAGTAGCTGATGTCAGTATATGTGTTCCTTGCTATACCCGCCCTTGATTAACAGAATAATGCACTGAGGTGAAATCTAACTCGGTATTAAACGTACATGGCTAAATATGGAAAGATGCCTTCTGGTCTTCTCGCATTTTCTGTGCTAATCACACTTGGGAGCATGCAGAAAGGCATGAACAGTGTGTGGTACGTAGCTAGTCCTCATCTGCTTGTTTTGGAGGGTAAGCAGGCGACCTGCAGCATTTTAAGGAGAGGACAGCAAGCGCAGCATGAGGGCCTGATTCACCATACTGTGTTGTCATTGTGTGTAACTTTGCATTTGGGTTGCAGTGGCATAGATCTGAAGAAAATAGTGGTTGTAATCATTCCTTTAGCACTTGACTTTAAAACATGGAAGATTAGGAGGAAATGGCATGTAATGTTGTTTGTGTTTTTTTTTTTTTCAAGGGGTGGCAAAGAGTGAGAAATAAAATCTGGCATAAGGTAATGATGAATGGAAAGAAAGTGTAAGTTGTGTTGCAAAGTCCTATCCATTTTGCAGTGATTGTTATATCCATCGTTTTTATTTTGAATAAAAAAATTCTTGACTCTATAAAGTTATTTCAGGTAGGCAGGTCTAACTTTGCTCCCAGATACATTAATATTATCCAAACGTATTAATTGCTTTAACCTGCTTTTACTGAGATCAAAAGAAGGGGGATTTGGCAAGGAGCATGGGCTCATAGTTCACAGCAGGCTTAGAAAGGGTGCCATGGACGGAGAACTTAATGGTAAGTAGAACTCTTGGTGGCTTTCTCTCCATGAAGGTTCTCAACTGATTGCTACCTTAATAGCTGAAAAAAAGTGTTTACCACTAACAGTCTACTGATCCCTGCAGAGGTCCAGTTGCTGTATCTGTGACATTAGTGGAACCTGGTCGCATCTGGCTGTAGGTGGGCAAAACTGACAGGGAAAAGCCTTCAGTTCAAATTGGTGGGTAACAACCGTTGTTGAAAGGGTTGATTAGAATTCAAAATGGGGTATGCAAAATGTGTCCTGAGTAGCCTTCTGTGCTGGTGCGTCAAGCTTGCTGAGGGTGACTGATGCCACAAAGAGAGGATTAGGGGCTCTTAGAGAAGTTGGAAAAGGGCTACGCAGGGCAGTGCTGAAAAATGTCTGTGCCTAAGTCTTTGCTGGTAGTGGGAATTATAGAGGAACTATAGAAAATTATTTTTAATAATGTAGCATATGAATTTATTGTATAATTTGAGACTGTAGTAAGATGGTTTGTTTTGTAATAGGTTGAATTCGGAGCATCTCTTGTTTGCTGCAGCTGGAGGAATAGCTCATGGAATCTATTTGAATGATTTTGCAAGAATAGAAGAAACAGCATAATCTAAATTATTGTGCTCAAAAAAAATTCTTACAGAACCATCAGTGTAAAAGATCATTACTATATATATGGGTGCATGGGGAAAGGTTGGTTTATGTAAGTTTCATTGATACATTCTTCTACAGTTAATTATAGGAGGTTTTCATTGTAATTAACAGTAATGAGCAAGGGGTGTGTGTCCTGTTACAATAAGACACGTGGAAACAGTGTGCCTTGAGGAGCCCCAGTCATACCTGATCATGAAGCACTGTTTTAATTTTAGATCGAATAGAGGCTTTTCTCTATTTGCCACTAATTCTGTGTGAAATCAGCTTATTGCGTATTCCTTGCTTTTTTTTTTTTTTTTTAATCCCACAAACATCTTTGTTCGTATGTTTCTTTTGGCCTCATTAACCTCTATTCCACCCTTAAGAGTAATTCAGATTGAATGCAGTGAATATTTATTAATGAGTGCAAAGATGAGGAATTGAAGTATTTCTTGTGAGGGGCTTCAGAATTTCAGAGGGTTTTTTTGTGTTTTCATTTTTGGCAGTCACTGTATAGGCTTAAGCATCTTTGTTTGCTGTGGCACCAATTCAATATCCAGTTGAAATTTCCAAAACGCTGCCTTGTCTACAAGCAATAAGACATTGGCTCTAAGTGGGAGTTACCCTATTTGCTTTGAGAGAAATTTGAAAAATTTAATGTTGCTGATCTATTTTGTCTTGTTCCTTTATTCTGGTTTAAGGCCAGTTCTGCAAATATTCAATACAAAGAATCCCATTTGAAACTCACGGCACTTGGACCTTTGCAAAAAGTGTAGGGGGTCCCTTTTCTGTATTGTATACCATACAACCTACAGCTATTTTGGTATATAATATTTTAATTATATATGAGCAATCAGTGAGATTTTTCAGCAGTATGGTATTGGGTTACGTAAGAAGAGAAATCAGTAAATTTGGGTCTTAAATTTAGTAGCCTTTTATTCAGTGGAGGCTTAAACAGGATGTTTCTTTACAGCCTTAACCACCTGTTTCCATGACACCGTCAGAAACTGAAATGGTTTAATGTTTTTTTATTTGTCTCTGTCAAATTTGGTTGAAATTGAAAGCTTCAGATCTATTTGAGGAGTGGTTGGTAGACAATGCAATTTCAGAAGCCTGGTTTCCTTAGGTAAGTAGGCTAAAGAAAGTAGCTGCTTTCATTCATTCATTCATGCTGCTGTATTATTTTTTTTCTGACCCAATGTGTTGAATCTAGGGAGAATTTAAAGAGTACAGCTCTATCCTATTTAGCTGTCTAGATGAATGTATTGTTATAGAGGGGTAAATTGTAGTTGCAATTTACAACATTGTAGTTTCCCCCATGGCCTTTCTAAACAAACAAACGAACAACAAACCATTATATATTGTAT